CAAGCTGTCTTTGGAGGCAATGATTAGAAGCTCCCATACCCCACCAGGTAAGGTCTACTCTAGAATTAATGGGCTACATATGGTTAACTGGAAGTAAACTAATAACATCAGAGGGGCTTCCTAGACAACCGGAGGAAACTCTCACAACAGGTGATACCCCAGGTGTGCTTCCCTTGTGCCCATGGAAGTGACCTGCTGTCTGGTCACTGTGTGTTGAGCCTGTCTCCTCCACCTGGGCCAGGCTGACTCAGCATTATGTCTTGGACAACTGGGGATGGAGCAGATATTGTTTCACTTCTATGTGAAAAGTGCAAGACAGTGTAGTCAATGGTCAACGAAGAGCAATAATTGAGTCTACCCAGTTATCCCTTTGAATTTTTAATCCAAAGTCCACACTTGTTAAGGGAAACTTTTTCCTTGCTAGCCGCTTTGGTTTATCACCTGCCAGTTGCCTGGGCTCTGCCGCTTTGTAGTCCCCAAATAAACACACAAGACGCTCTATTAATTATGAAGCTGTTGGCCTTGCTTGTCTCTTACTGGCTAGCTCTGCTTTAAGTAATTACCCCATAATTGTTAATCTAAGTATGTCTCTTACCGGAGAGGTTTCTGGGCTTCCTACCCCAATGGCATTACATCTCGACTCTCTGTGTTTCTTCTTCCCAGAATCCTCCTGGACTCCTAGCCCCACCTATCTAGATTCCTATTGGCCAGCAGTAATTTATTGACATATACACAGGACTTCCCCAACACACACTAAACTGCAATATGGGGACTCATTCTAGGATAAGAAAAAGAAAAGATTAATATCTACACTGCTTTTAAGTGTGTCCTCATGATGTTACATGTCCTTGCTGACATCTGTGGAAAATTTGAAGGTTAACAGTCAACAGCTGGTCCATAAAACATAAACAAGTGATTCTAAACCTACTGACAAAGATCCCCAAAGAGTCAGCACCTCTGCTCCCAAAGACACCAAATGTGTGTCATCGTTCCAGGGCGTCATTAATAATAGAGTGACTGAAACTGGCCATGGACCAGCATGGGGAATAAAATGCTTTCCCTCCAGATCCTACAGTGAAGACAATTCAGGGATGCCTGTCTCATTCCATCCAGGGAGGGATGCTCCTCTAGCTATGAGGACTTGACTGTTCCTGGGTAGAGACTGACCACAGTAAAGCATGTGTGTCACCTACACTCTCCACAGCTCTGCTGCCCTCATCCTCTCCCATTCCTCAGACAAACCCAGAGGAGAGAAACCTACTCCTGTGAGGACTGGCAGAGAGAATGTACTGGTTGGTGTCCACCGGCCAGCTTCAAATATCTGTTAGTGTTTGTAGACATCTTCATTGGCTGGATTGAGACTTTATCTGCTGTGGTTGAAAAGACCACAGAGGAGATAAATGTCCTTCTAAGGAACATTGTCCCATGGTTTAGTCTCCTCTGGTCAGAAGAGTCATTAATGGAGCTTCCTTCACACCACCGAGGACTCGAACTATATGCAAGACTCTGGGGATTTAGTACTACCTGCATTCAGATTGGAAGCCGCAATGACCCAAGGTTGCCCCAAGGTTGCCTCCAGAGCCTTTATGGTGGATGGAGGGCAGCAATTTCTGCAAATTGTCCTCTGACCTCCACACACATACCATGGCTGTGTACACTCACCAAGACAATGAATCTAAATCTTTAAAACAAATTAAATTGCAAAGAATCCTAACTGAATGAATGATGTTTGCTTGATCCTGGCAAAATGGAATCACTTCCTCTTCCTAAATAGAAGAAAAACCTTAATGTTGATTTTTCTGCTTTTGAAAAAAATTCCCTGTGTATATGGAATAAGACACTGTTTCCTGTTTTAAACATGGAGACTAATGCCACCAAGCCCTCTGATTGTTTGCTTTGTCCTAAACTGAAGTCTTCTTATCTGAACTTCCTGGTCCTGGGGCAGAACCATTATCCTAGTGACCATTCTGAATCTGCCTTATTAGCTGCCCTACTGGGGAAAGCCCTTTGCATTGTTACGGCAGAAATACAGCCTTTTGTTACCATGGCATCATAGCAAAGGCTGCCCAAGACGCATCCAACAATTCAATCTCCTCACTGTTGTCATTTGGAACTTGCAGCACCATGTCCCCTCCAACATGTAAGGATGATTATTTCCTTAGAGACTACACCTCTTCTGTTTGGTGTTCGGGAACAAGGGAACCTGTATCTGACCTCAAGCCTTTCTGAAATCCATGTGGGGCCAGGGACCACCTACTATGGTAAATTAGAGCACATCGGATACTTTTTATGTGGAACAAGGGTATATTCTGTGCTGTCCAGAGATGGGAAGTCAATGTGTTATTGTGTCTATCAGTTGTGTGGGATCCACCCCAGGAGACAACTCAGATATGAGTTCCAGCCAATAGCAAGTCTTTATTAGCTGCCTGGTGATTATATGGGGCATTTGGGACCTGAGTTTAGTCCTGTGCCTTTCTCTGGGTTGACATACCTTAAGAACACTCAGCCTGAGGCCAGAAAACAAGGTCAGTGCATGCAAGTACTTTCTCAGAACTTTGGGCTTTGATTGATTATGTCTTTGTTCTCATTTTGTCCAGTGTTCCTGCTGAAGTGCTGGTTTTTAGGGCCAGAATGGTACTTCCATCATGGTGTCTGCTGTGCTAAGGTCTAGGTCCTAAGTCTAAGAGCCTGTTGCACATCTTCTAAAGAGAATTTCCAAAAATTTGGTATACTGCCAATGTGGAGTCTTTCCTCAAGCTCCCTTCAACATACCTCCCCTGTAGATACAAAAGAGGTATGAGCCAGGGTAGGCAAAAATTCTTGAGTTCAGCATCCTGAATATTGACAACCCAGTGTTAGGATGAACAGGACTTGGGAGATACACTGAGAGGTTTATTCTCACCAATGGAAGTTTCAACCCCAGAGAGGTTCATTCAAAGATTGTCCTTGAACCTACAATGGTAGTAGAAGGCCACCACTTTTGCTCTTAGGCACAACAATCATCAAGCCTGGACTCTTTCACAGAAATGTTCCTGCAGAATTGCAGGGCTTTGGATGTCTTGTCTGCCCAGGCATTTGTGTGATGCTTAATTAAGCGTGGTGCTTTGGGATTAGTAAATCATGTTATTTGAACAAAACTTTATAAAATTAGCAGGGATCATTAAAGTACACCCAAATCCTTTTTTAAAACCTAAATTACAATGTCTATCAAAAGTCATGCCAGTCTCTCTCTTAGGAAGCAGGAGGAGCTGGCTTTGGGGAATAATAACGTCCATATTCACTCTTCAGACTGCAGCTTCTGCTGTTGGTCCTTGCATCCTAAACCTGTGTCTTACAATCTAACAACTTCTGGGAATAAAAGTGCTGACATTCTCAGGCTACCAAGTGTTTAACTCAGAAAAGCAAAGACTTGGAATAGAGCCTTCCTCTGGCCCAACATGTCGTCAGGTGTGACTTTAACTTCTGATTCTCCTGCCTCTACCTCCAAACACTGTGGTTACAGGATGCTCGATTCACACTGTGCTGGGGACTGAACCCTCCATTAAGGACATGACAGGCAAGCACTACCAGCCTAATTACATCCTCAGCCTCTGTTTACCTGCTGTCATTCCGCACTGTCACAAATGCTCTGCTGTGTTGCATGGATCCAGGTCTTACTGGTCTCGGAGAGTGAGTTCCTGATTGGGACCCAAACTATCTGTCAAGTCCCCCAAAAGTCTCATTAGCACAACATCTGTAGTAGTCTTAGGTCTTTTCAGTCTCTGATGTGACACACTTGCTCAGTGCACGGCTAGGAAATCACTCCTTCTGAAACTCCCTAGACAAGGGGTCAGAACCGCATCAGCTTGTCATCGGCACAAAATAGAGAAAGATCCTGTTATCATTCAGGCATTTCCTCCAGCCTGCACCAGCACACATCGTCATGGGCCACCAAGATGTCGCACTACAGCCAGGAGCCCTGTGTTCTCCATGTGCACCCGTGCTGAGTCCCCTTAGAAAAAGGGTACACGTGCTGAGTCCCCTTAGACAAAACAGATACATGTCCTGAGTCCGCTTAGACACAAGGAAGCACCTTCTCCTGCTGTTCTCCTTCCCTTCCGCCCTCCCTCAGAGGCGACCTCTGCATCGCCTGTCCCCACACACCTCTCACATGAGGTCTGTCTCTGTCCCATGGTGTGACTTTGTGGAGCCCCTGGGCTTCAACCCACCTAGTCACCTTCTGCCATGAAGTCATTGCAGAACCCCTTCGTGTTTAGTATACTTTATGGCCCCTGCCACACTCTCCAGGAAGCTTAACTTCTGAATTTCCTGCTGTTTAAATTCTCCTGGTAATTAATTTGGAGAGAGCCAAAGCACCATTTTAAGTTTCAGTTACTGTGCCTTAGAGATCCACGGAACAAAAATGCCTGCCATCTGTAAGTCCCTTGCCCAAGGACAGATAGCGCCTGAAATACTGAGGCACTGTTTATGGGAGAGAACAAGCCACACGCTTGTCACTCACCTAAACAAGTTTGTTTGCCCCACCTGCGCCAGATGGGTTTGATCACATGTGGGCTGGAGGTCCGCAGGCAGGAAATACACCAGGCTATATGCTTGGGCCTGGCAGGATGTAGGCTGGAAGTCTGTGAGGATGTATGCTTGACCCTGATTGCACCTGGTGAATTACAATGAATTATGCGTTTCCTTTCTTAAACTGGTACTGACTATCACTTGGGGCCCTGACCGGAATCTGGGTATGTCCCTAGCCAGAGCTCATCCACCTGGCCGATATTTCATTAAATCTTTTTTCAAATTTGGCTTTAAACTGTGGTAGTGGTCTTATTGTTGAACAGCTGGATTAATAAGAATATAGGCCTTTTAATATGCTAGTGGAGCTTTCTAATGACACCTTCCTCACCTGGTTGCTTGAGATTTTGAGACAGTTACTCTTGGGATACCAGGGGCTCATTTTGTCTCTGAAACTTCCCTGCCTCTGAATCTGTCTTTAAAGGCCTGGGACAACAGACTTGTGTCTCCATGGCTGACTACATTTCAATATTCAGTATCAGAAAAGGAAGAGCCGAAGTGACCTTGTCTGACCCCAGAACAGCTAGTGACACAGGCTCCACTGAGGTGTAGAACTTCGCATTAGAAAGCTCCCCTAGTACATTAGGAACCATGCGGCCTAATGCAGATACCTCTGGGATGGCCAAACTCAGCAAATTGATCTTTCAGTTTATTTGATTTTTTTTTCCTTTTTAGGACATTTGATGTCTCTGTCTCTGTCAGTTCCCTCCCTGTGGTCTGTAACTTGATGCCTTGCTTCTCATCTAGTGTAGATTTCCTCTAACAGTCTGAGACCTTTTTATTTACGCCCTGAGCATCTTCTGCATGATGTATCCAGAACCTCGACACTGTGCTGCTCTGAGTAGTCTTCTCCTGACACTTAACAGAATTCGTGTGGTCGATTTTATCCTGGTACTGCATGGCAGGAGAAGAGCATGAGCTTGCCCGAGTTTACCTTTCCCCATCACTACTTTAGAGCTGTGCTTAGCACACAGTGATTGCTGGGAGCGTGGTTGTTGGATGACGGAACGCACAGGCAGACGGTTAGTGACAGCGGGGCGTCGAGGATGCACATGGAGAGGGTGGGCAGTAGGTGACCAGTTGTCTGCTCTGTTGTGTGGGAGACTCTGAGTTCCTGACTGGGAAAAGACGCTGAGTTCCTGACTGGGAAGAGATGTGCTGTGGGAAAGGGGAGGGAGGCTCACAGCTTTCTCCACAGGGCGTGGCTCCGGTTTTGTGGTACCCCTCCTCCTGCTTATGGTACTCTAAGTTAGTGAGAAGGTGAGATGACCTCATGCTGACCCGACTTCACCTGAAGTCAGTGGGTTATGTCAACCCTGCAGTCCCCCAACCTAGCGCTCATGTGTAAAGTGCAGACTCCACACACCAGGCAGGGAGAGCACACTCTGTGTTTGCTGCTCCAGAGGAACAGTTTCCCCTCAGCCCCGAGGACATTATCCACGGAGAGCCAGAAGTGCTGCACTGCCCAGTGGTGGGGAGAGCCCGAGGGTTGCGTCTGGGGGCCCAGCAAGGAACAGCAGAGAGGCAGCTGGGGATCCAGACTGAAAGACAGAGGTACAGACTGGCGTGTCACACCTCTGCTCCAGTCTGCACCGGACACTGCGTGAGGACTCACACCTCACCTCAGGTGATGCTGTGTTTGAGCGTCTTTCAAGACATGGCCTCTTCCCATTTGTCACTCACTCCCCACACAGTTCTGTACAGGAGTCGGGCTGAACCTCTCATTCCTCATCTCTTTTCCATGTGGATTCCAGTTCCCTCCCCTCGGCACCCACCTGTGTCTCCCTGGGCTGTGTGAATGCTCTCACAATTCACCTCTGAGGACAGCTATGCAGGGGAGGGGTGTGGAACAGCCCCATGGAGAGACTCCTCTTCTCTGGTTCCCTCTCCCAGCCACTGCTTTCCCACAGACAAACTTCAGGGGTGATGCCCTGTGGGAACTTTCTGGAAAGATGTGCATCTCTCCTCATACTCAAATTTGTTCCCGGATTCTGGGTAGATAGTTCAACTGAGAGCTTGTTTGTGAGCATGAGGACATGTCTCAACACATACACACACATGCATACACCCGCACAGACACACACACTTATACACACATGCACAAATAAATGCATGCACACACAGAGGCGGACAAACATGCCTACATATGCACAGACACACACACACGCATGTGTATATACACACATACACTAAGCAAAGAAATACACACACCCAGATACGTAGAGATCCAGATGAGTATGCAAAGGTGTTTATTGGGTGGAACAGGTCTGTTCACCAAAATCTGAAGGGAGTCAGGGACAGGTTTCACACAGGACAGGTGGTGGCAGCAGTGCAGAGGAATTGACTTTTCACTATAGTTTGATTGTGTAAGCAGCGGATACAGATCGAAGGTACAAGGTGCTAGTACTGGAGTTAAAATATCCCATCCAAGTGAACGGGAACCACTGGATAGGCAGGAGTGTCCTGTGGCTTTCTGTGGTCACAAGCAATTCTGTAGAACTTTGTTGCTGGCGTCGTTTGGTATCGACATTGGGTATAGTTGCTTGACGAAGTCGTGAGGTTACAGTAAGTTAAAGATACTGGAGCTGAACTATTATGACAATTTGTGTGGCCATTGCGGCAAGTAGTATTCCTACTGCCACACACACTAACAACAGCAGCAAAACTCATATTAAGAAAAGTATTCAGGTTCTTGCATCGTCCTGTATAATTGTTGACTCCCTTCATTGCAGGAGTACATTGGAGGTTGGTGCTATTGTTTACATGTTGGATTTCAAACCACTGGGAAGGGGTTAAATTCTGTGGGATCTGGAATGAGACAACCATTATGACAAATCCCAACAGCAGCAGGAGACAAAGTCGGGACTCAAGCAGCGTCACACCCATGTTTCCTGTGAGAACAGAAGAGAAGTCACTACGCCCCATAGTTTCTGTTTTTCCTGTCTCTTCCTAAAGGCCCTCTGCTGGCACTGTGGGCTCGCAGGTCCATTTCTCCTGGACACTGCCCAAGCCCTGCCTCTCCTGTCCCAGTCCCAGAGCTCGGTGTCTTACCCAGTCTATGTTGAGCTCCTGTGAGAACGCAGTGCTGGTTGTCCTGGAAATCGGGGATGATGGGTGAGCTCCCGTTCGGCCCATACATATAGAGCAGCCCTGTGGGTGGAGCTGGCAGAGTCATGTGGTTGGAGTCTTCAGCATGCAGAACCACAGACTGACACATGGCCTCATTGCACAATCAGCCTGCCGTTTCTTCACTTGGCCAAGCAATGGACACCAAAGAGGAGTCCTGTTAGCTCCCCTGTACGGAATCTAATTCCAAGTCAGCTTGCATAAGGCAGAAATTGAAGTCTGAATCTGAACTCTCTATATAAAAAAATCTCTGTATTGCCTACATAAAAGTCTGCAATTTCTGTATAACTGCAGATTTGTGACTGCACTTTGGTTACAGACAGACCAAGTTCTTAGCAGCCTGTCTAGGTACTTAGAGGAACCAGAGCTTTGAAAAGCCAGATTCATTAGAGATATTTACATCCTGTCTTTCATTTTCAATTAATATGATGTTTAGGGCTGGAAAAAAATCCTCAGTGGTTAATGGTACTTGCTGCTCTTCCAGAGGACCCAAGTTTGGTTCCAGCACCTATGTTGGGTGGCTTACAACTGTGTGTAGCTCCATTTCCAGGCATCTGATATCTTCTAATCACTTCTGTTGGCATGTACATACACATGTTCACAGACCTATGGAGTATCCCTTTACACTGTGTACTACATATGTATGTGATTGGTTTAATAAAGCAGCTGACTGGCCAATAGCTGAACAGGATAAGTTTAGGCTGGGGGCCAAACTGAGAATGCTGGCAGGAAGAAGGGCGGAGTCACCACCAGATTCGGTGAAAAGCAACATGGGCATGCCATACTGAGAAAATATACCAAGCCACGTAGCAAATCATAGATAAGACATGAGTTAATTAAAATTTAATATAAGCCTCAGCGTGTCTCTTTGGGAACTGCTGGTGGGTCAGAAACTTCTGCCTACACAGACCAACAGACGCAAGTAAAAATAAATCTTGGGGAGTGGTGGGATAGCTCAGTGCTTAAGGTCACTTCCTGCTCCTCCAGAGACCTTCTTTCTCTTCCAAGGGACTCAGGGTTGTCAGCCAGAGCTCGTAACTGTAGAAAATTCCAGCTCCCGGGGAATCTGACACCTTTTTGGTTTTTGTTAGTACCTGCACACATGTGGAACACACACACACACACACACATACAGAGTTAACAAATAAACTTTAAAAACTGTATTCAGACACAGTAACAAAAAACTGTACTCTGAGCACACTGTGTAAAATTTATCTGTTTCTGGTATAGGTGTCTTAGCCAGGGTTCCTATTGCTGAGACAAAACACGGTGATCAAAAAGCAGGTTGGGGAGGAAAGGGTTTGTTTGGCTTACACTTCAGCATTGCTGTTCAACACTGAAGCCAGTCCGGACAGGAACTCAAACAGGGCAGGGTCACAGAGTGTAGCGGTTCTTTTCCACTCTTTGCTCTTTGGGGGCCTGCCTCCCAGCTCCCAAATAAACGCACAGAGACTTATTCTTACTTAAGAATGCCCAGCCTTATCCTGGCTCGTTTCCAGACAGCTTTTCTTAAATTACCCCATCTACCTATTGCCTCTGGGTTTTTATCTTTCTCCACTCCATATAACTTAACTTCTTACTCCACGGCTTGCTGTGTAGCCGTGTGGCTGGCCCCTGGGGCTCTCTCTCTTATTCTTCCTCTTCTTTCATGTATTCTCTCTGCCCGTCATCCCACCTGTCCTATCTCCTCCCTGGCTATTGGCCATCCAGCTCTTTATTAGACCAATCAGGTGTTTTTGTCTTAGACAGGCAAAGTAACACAGCTTTACAGAGTTAAACAAATGCGACATAAAAGAATGCAACGTATCTTGGCATTATCAAACAAACATTCCACAGCATAAGCAAATGTAACACCTCTTCAACTAATATTCCATAATACTGAAGGCCGGAGTTGATGCAGAGGCCATGAGCAGGTGTTGCTTCCTGGCTTGTTTCCCACGGCTTGCTTAACCCATCTTCTTGTAGAATCTAAGACAACCTGCTCAGGAATGGTACCACCCACAGTGGGCTGGCCCCTCCCCCATTGATCACTAAATGAGAAAATGCCTTGCAGCTGGATCTCATGAAGGCATTCCTCAACTGAGGCTCTGACGACTCTGGCACACAAAACCAGCCAGTACGGTAACATTCTTTTGTACATTTCCAACTACCCACCTTCCCTCCAGAATCAGTACAAATGGTCTAGTTTTACACTGAGAACCTCCAGGAGAGCACCACTCTACCTATGATCCCCTAGTGTAAGCCAATGTTAATAAAAAATACACTAAACTTCAATACGAATATGTATGTGTTTGTCTTTGCTCTGGGATTTGAACCTGGGGTCTTGTGCACTCTAAATAAATACTCTGCCACTGAACTACACACCCAGTGCTGCGTGGATAGGAGTTTTGACTTCAAGAGAATAAAAACACTTTAATTATTTTGTCATCAAAACCTGCCTTGCATTCTGATCAGTGGCACTCTGTCAGATGTTGTGAAATACATCCAGACTTATACTCTAGAAGTAAGCACTTTTTTTTTTAACTTGATGAATGAGGTTATAGAAACTCCCGGGCATCAGGCATTATACTAATCCCGCCCCCTAATCACTGGCACGGTCACGTGGCTATGTCACCTCGGCTATGTCACTCAGTGCAGGACTCAGTGCACATGTACAGTGTCCCCTTTATAAGCCACCACTCACCCCCCCGTCCCCCCCCGTCTCAGCTCTGCACGGATTGGTTATCTCTCCTCTCCCCACCCCCCTTTCCTTCCCTGTCTACCCATAAAACTCCACGTGGGACCGTTGACTCACAGTTCATGTCTTGTGACTGGGTAAACCTAGATTGGCTACAACACCGGGAGTTGAACCCAGGAATCCTAACCGCTGGCCTCCCACCTCCCCAAAGCTATAGGGATTATTCGCTGACGGTCCCATCAGACTGACAGCACCATTATCTCTAGGGGCAACAACCGGGCTGATGAAGCAGCTGGGGCTTCAAGCCTCCGAGACCCAGATCTACCTCACCCACCGCAGTGAGTTTATACGCTACAACCCACATCCTCAGTCACCTCCTGACACTCCACAAATCCTGTCCTGTCTACAACAGCTCTTACACCCCAACAGTCAGGCTCTGTCTCATTTTGTCAAGGCTCACCTCCAACCCACTCCTGGGGACTTACGCTTCTTTTTTTTTTTTTTTTTTCCTTTGGTTTTACGAGACAGAGTTTCTCTGTATTGTTTTGGAGGCTGTTGGTCCAGCCTGGCCTCGAACTCACAGAGATCTGCCTGCCTCTGCCTCCCCAGTGCTGGGATTAAAGGTGTGCGCCACCTACGCCCGGCGGGACTTACGTTTCTTAAAAACTATCACTGTCCCTTGTAAAAACCGTCAGATGTCAGACCCTAACTCCAGGTATCATAACCCCCCTTATCCCACCCACCAGGCTAGGGCTGGCAACTTGACTTTACCCACATGCCTGTGAAAGACCCCGAATTTATAGAAATAAAATATAAGCTTAAACAGGGAGGGCACCCCACTAGAGAACTTGGGAAGTGAACAAAGGACCCCATCCTAGGAACCGGCCATACCACAGAATGGAATGTATGGTTTAGAGACCTTAATTGCAGAAGGGCTGTAAATCGCCACAGAATGGAATGTATGGTTTAGCAACCTTAATTGCAGAAGGGCTGTAAGTTCACAAAAAGCCAATTATGGGCTGCCATCTGTGAAGAACTGACCAGGGCAAACAAGACTAGTGGGAAACAAGGAGATAACACTATTTACTTAGGGAGAGATAATTAACTCATGCCAAGGTTTGATATGAAGGACATCTACTTCCCCGGGACAGGAGTCACGTACCCCCTTCCCCCGTCACGAGATAAGGACCCCTCCCAAAAGCTTGTGGTTTTTGTCTTTAAAAGCTGATTGTAACTGAACCTCGGGGCCAATCGGTCTAAAAGCTGACGGAGAGGCCCATCTGCAGATGCCTAATTAAAGCCTCTGCGTGTTGCATCAATTGGCGCGTGGACTCTTGATTCTTGGGGTGACGAATCCGGCTTGGGGACCCCTCCTCAATTCAGGGTACCCCAACACCTGTAGTCAGGAGGGTTAAGTATCTCCTGGTATTAGTTGATACCTTCTCAGGGTGGGTAGAAGCGTTTCCAACCACTAACAAAAGGTCCCAGACAGTCTCTGACATCCTTCTCAGGGAAATTATTCCCCGTTTTGGGATTCCAGCCTCTCTTCAGTCAGACAGTGGTCCTGATTTCACCTCTCAGATCTCCCAAACCCCATCCAAAGCTCTCAACATTCTTGGCATTTTCATATTCCTTGTCATCCCCAATCCTCAGGGAAGGTAGAGCGTACTAACCGTGCTTTAAAAAACGTTCTGGTTAAAATGTCACAGGAACTTCATCTTGACTGGGGAAAGCTCTTGCCTCTGGCTCTTTTCAGGCTTAGGGCTCTTCCCAAACGACCCCTTTTCATCCCCCCTTTGAGCTCTAACACCTGGCCTCACCTGGACCCTCACCTCTCCCTGACCACCTGCTTCCACCCTTAGTCCATCGTCTCCGTTCCCTCCTACGGGACTTTACTGACCGTTCTCTACCTCAACCATGTGCTAACCCCCATACATCCCCAATTAATATCGGGGATCAGGTCCTTCTCTCCCCTCTGGACCAATGCCCCTTGGCCCTGTCCCCTAAATGGCAAGGCCTCTTCAAGGTAATTCTTGTCACTCCAACAGCTGCTAAGCTTGAGGGCCTCCCCACTGGATTCACTTATCCCCCTCAAGCCCTTTACCTCACCTGAAACTCACTCCTCATACACAGCTACTGCAACAGCACCTTGTTCCCTTAAGCTGCGGAGGATGCCCAGATCAACTACTTTGCCTCCTATTTCAGAAGAATAAGACTCCTACAACCACACTCAGCCGGACTGGGGCCCCCAAATGCTTTCCTTCCTGTCTTCAGGCTACTCTAAACCCTCCCGTCTCTAATTACACCCTACTCATCAACAACTCATTTAAAACTTCTAGTCCGACTGATTAGCTGTTGTTACAGAAATGCCAGCCAAAGCCATGGATCTACAAGTACAAAGACCACCAAACACTTGTGCCTCCTCAGTAAGGGTAACCAAAAATCCCTTACAGCCTCGACAACAATGAAACAATCAGCTGATAAGCTATTAATTCATTTCTAACAGGGTACTAAACACCAAACAATACTACTATACAATGCTTTTGTTGTGCTAAAAATATCTGTCAGTTTAAAAAATATTAATGCTTTCAGCCAAGTTACTTCTAATATGCTACTTCTAATATGTTTAATACTTGTGTTTTCACAAACTCAAAGGATCCTTGTAAGTTCCAGGGATTGGACCCATCCAAACAGGTTAAATTCACTCCAGACACTATTCAACATCTCCCTGGTCCCAGGATTCCCTTCTCTCATCTTGGGACCCCTCGGGAATCCCTCCCTAATCTTACAATCTTCCCCTCAAATACTAGGACCCAAGAGAAAAAAAAATTTTTAACCTAACTTTGTCCTCTACTCTGCTAACATCTTGCCAGATCTACAGAGGTGCCAGAGAGTTCCATACAGCCTGGACTGCGATGGAGCACCCAGCTACCCCGGATGTGGCAACACACCCACTTTCTCAAGTCCCCCAATGATAGTCGACGCCCCAGGTCAGCAGGAAGCAGTCTTGAAAACCCCCATGCCCTTATTCCCTGACTTGCCACGCCCAACAACCCACCTTTTTAATCATCATAAGAGTTGGGAATCATAGGAACTCCTGGCATTAGGCATTATACTAGTCCCGCCCCCTAATCACTGGCATAGTGATGTGGCTATGTCATCACCACGTCACTCACTCCTCCCTCTCTCTCTCAGCTCTGCACGGGTTGGTTATCTCTCATCCCCCCCTTCCTTCCCTGTCTACCCATAAAACTCCACGTGGGACCGTTGACTCACAGTTCGAGTCTTGTTACTGGGTAAACCCAGACATTTTAACAACAGAGGTAAGGTATTAACTCAAGAAATAATCCCACACTTGTCATAAAAATCACAGTATTTTGCTGTCGCACTTGATGGATATCTCTTTGTGCAGATTCCACTGGTGAGAGAAGATGTCTAACTCTTGGAATTTCTTCAACCTGGGATACAGCTGCAATGACCGCTCTTAACCTGCTGACTGGACACAGTTCTGCCAAGTGCAGGGACTGTCCATGGAAATGACAGGGCACGGCATTTAAAACATTATCGTAGCAAACTGTTTTTAAGGAATCGGTCTTGTGGGATGACTTAGGATGTGTTGGCACAGGGCCTCACTCAGTCTCCTTGGTTTGGTTTGAACTTCCTTGGAAGCCCAGATTGGATTCCAGTTGCCATCCTTCTGCCTCAGCCTCCCGAGTGCTGGGGTTAGAGACTTGCAGTCCACTCTCAGCTTGTGAACCAGATGGTAAGTATCTCTGAAAGACTCATGGAGTAAATGCTTGCCCACAGCCTGTGGTGCTGTTGTGGATGGTAACCTTTGGGGGTAGGACTCAGCAGAAAGAAGTTAGGACACTGTGGGCGTGTCCATGAGGGGCACATAGGGACCCCAGGTGCCCTTTCTGCCCTCCTGTCTTCTGCCGTGGGCAGTTTTGTTTTAGTACATTCTTCCTACCATGCTCTCCTTTACCACAGACCCCAAACAACGGAGACACCTCTCTGTGGATTGATATCTTTGAAAATAGGAATCAAACTAATAATCTTTGCTTCTGTCAAACCATTTGACTCAAGCGTCTATCAAACTGGGGAAATCTGATTTGCACAGTGATGCAAGTTAATTTAACTATGATTTGTTTCCAGAAGTTCAAAGTACATTTGGTGCATGGTCTCTAAGACTTCCTTCTTCATGTTATGGGGCCTCCTACAAATCTCCTCAGAAGGCTGCGGAACAAAAGCAGATCTTCAACCTTTTGCTCAGGATTCTGGGATTACACAGAACCCAGAGGGACCACACAGGCAGACAGGGTCTGGGTTGCTGGTGTCTGTGAAGGGCCTCGCATCTTCCTTGTGCACTAAGGATTCTGGTAAGTGACTCTGTTATCATTTCTGGCATCACCCAGCCAGCCCCAAGGGTTCTATGGCCACACATGTGTGGTCAGTATTCAGGCAAATACTGAGTCAACCCAGGACCCTATGGCCAGGCATATGTAATCTATGCACAAGCACCTTGTGCCCTTGTAAGACTCCGTATGCATGTCCAAAGGCCCCTTTAAACAGGGAGTTCTATCTGTTCCTCAAGCTCTCTCTGCTCCCTCCCTTTGTGAGGTCAACCATGAGTCTTCAGATCAAGCACAAAGTGCCGGCCTCAGTAAGTTAAGTCTCTGTTTCTCAGAAATCAAGTAACCCCCTGCGGTCAAGCTAAGCACCAAAGATAACCCCTCGCTTAGCAACACATCCTGCCTTTAACAACACCCTGCATTCCCACTGCCTCGTTCCTCTATATAAGCTGGTACAAATTTTTCAGTAAACAGAGCTTGATCAGCCAGTTTGTCTAGCTCTCAGTCTCTGTGTCTCTTGTTCCTCACTTGTCTTCCCCCTAGGGTAACCCCTACTGTCTGTGTCCTGCAGGTCGGGACAAACCCCCGTGACCCCCCTCTTCCAACCCCCTATCAATAAACTTCCATGTGGATTTGTTATGTATCCTGGTTTGTTCTTGCAGCCTTCACCGCTGAACTACAACAGACTCCATGCATGTAACTTCCGGCTGGACCCTGTGGCACCCTGCCATCTGTCACGGCATACTTGCTGTAGGTGTCTGGAACCACCCCTGCTGGCTATGGTGGGCAGGTACAACAAGTCCCCATTCTGGGAGCCATGACTGGTGCCGCTGTAGATGTTCTCGTGGTACAAGGGTTGCCTGTCACACCGCATGTATTGGTGACAGATAGAATGGATGGGGTGGTACTCTGGCCCCGGCCTGGCTGTCAGCCCCTTTGGTTGGGATTTTAATCGGGATGACATTGAGTCTGTAGGTCAATCTGTAAAAATAAATAAATAAGTAATATAATCCATGTGTCTAAGCACTGACCGTTCTATTCAACAGAGGCAGACTTCTTGGGGTCCAGGTGGTCTGTAGTTCCTTTCTCAAGCACTGACACACATGTAGTCCCGACCCCCCCCCCCCCCCCCCTGACTGAGGGTGATTGTCTAAGACAGATCCTAGGAGGCATGTCCTCCAGGGCAAAACAAGGCCACAAGGGCAGGAAGTGCAGAAGGAAGAACTCAGATAAGGGGGGGCGAAGAGACTCTTTGCTCAAGCTCTGCCTGTAGTGCAATCTCTAGTAGCTAGGTAAATCACACATAAATCGTAATGGGGAAAAATAAAAATTGCTCACTCTTGAAGAGACTGTAGAGTTTTGCGTCTTTGTCTACCATTGCTGTTTCCTAGGTCCTTCGGATGCCCACATCTGTGCCACTATATTGATGCAGAAACGTGTGTGTCTAACACTCTCCTCTCCTGGGCCTCAGGATCCCACCTCACAACTCAGGGCTCCAGACCATAGTGGGTCCACGGACCTCAGCTCGACTGACGCCACAGTGGAAGCACCACCATCCAGGCCGTGAAACTCAGCATGTAGACAGCACCGCCTGCCGAAAATGAAAAGGAAGGCCTAATCCATCAAAGTTCATAGTTCTGGGACAGTCTCTGAATGTACTAACCTTGGCTTTGTTAACTGGGGTATGTCAACTCAGGACATTTTTTTTTTGTGCTTAAAACTCACCCTGAGAAAGATTCAGGGTTACAGTGGGATCCGGGGCACTCAGTATAGTGACCAGCCAGCTAATGAAGACTTTCTTTGTCTTAAACTCATGCCTGAGAAGTCTTCTCTGGTGGCTATCCCACAACAAGAGCAAGTCTTTAACTTTTAGTAAAATACAGTATTTGAACAGCATTAAAAAGAATGGTCAAATCTGGTAGTAACCTTTAGGGATAAACATTGAAAGCACCACAATCTCAAAGCACCACAATTTCATGTCCTGGTCCCACAGAAGTTGTTCCTCTTCCTATTCCTCTTCTTCTTCCTCCTCCTCCTCCTCTTCCTCTTCCTCCTCCTCCTCCTCCACCTCCTCCTCCTCTTCCTCCTCCTCCTCCTCCTCCTCCTCCTCCTCCTCCTCCTCCTCCTCCTCCTCCTTCTTCTTCTTCCAGACAGAGTTTCTCTGTGTAGCCCTGGCTACCCTGAAACTCACTCTGTAGACCAGGCTGGCCTCCAACTCGGAGATCCCTCTGCCTCTGCCTCCTGAGTGCTGAAATTAAAGGCTTGCACAACCACAGCCTGGTTTGAGACATTTCTCTCTATTTGCAGTAAATACTGCTATAGAATAACCCTTCTGTACATTGTGAATATACATTACTTTGATGGGTTTAATAAAGAAGCTGACAGGCCAGTAGTTGAGCAGGACAGGGTTAGGTGGGAGAGGCAGACTGAGAACGACGGGAAGAAGGAGGGTGGAGTGGAGGGAGACGCCAGACAGACAGACAGCTGCTGGGGAAGCAGGATGTGTAGAAAGCGAGCTAACAAGCCATGAGCTAAGTGGCAGAGCATCAATAGGACATATGGATTAATTTACATGTAAGAGTCAGCTAGTAACAAGCCTGAGCTATCAACATCGGCCAAGCACTCATAACTCATATTCAGCCTCTTGAGTGGGTTGTTTGGGACTGGGTCAGGACAAGAAGCACCTGTTTACAAAATACATTGTGGCTAGCTTTGAAATTCGTTTCTTTTTTCAAGCCATGAATCCTGGTTTTGCCTGGGTGGAGGGTTCTTAGAAGTCCCCAGGGAGCTGCTGGTGTGGGCCTGTGTTCCTATTGCTGGTAACACATCAGGAAGGAAGAAACAGCAAAATGGAGAAACCTCTGCTGTAGGCAAATACTATCTGAAGACATTCTTAGCACTGGGTTGGTGTAGGCTAAGTGTCTGTTCATATATCCCAAAGGATTTACCTAACAGCTACAAAAATGTTAGGTCATCCTGAGGTGGGAAACAGATGCCTGTAAAGGGGGCTAAGGCTGGCCTGAATGTTTGGACCTACAACACCCTGCCTTTCACATCTGAAGTTCTATTCTACCAGTCAGATTTCATAGGTGAAGTTTCTTTGTGGGGACTTTAATTCACACACAGTTGTAAAAGCAAAAGTTAACCTGTGGGCCCCACCTGCCCAAAGACGAGGTAACTTCCTGGAATGCTGGGAGTTGTAGTTCTTGGGAAATAACAAGCCACCTGTTTCATGCCCCTAAACAAGTTCGTTTGAAACTACCCCAGATGTTCTTGATCACATGTAGGCAGGAGGCATGCAGGCAGGAAATACTTCAAGATGTATGCTTGCCCCTGATTGGACCCAATGGGAAATGCAATGAGTTATGGTTTTTTTTTTTTTTGAGACCAGGTTTCTCCATGTAGCCCTGACTGTCCTGGAGCTAGGTCTGTAGACCAGGCTTGCATCCAATTCAGTGATCTGCTTGCCTCTGCCTCCTGAGTGCTGGGATTAAAGGTGTACGCCACCACCATCGGTGTGTTTTGCCTTTAAAAAGGTAACTTATGACTACTGGCTGGGATCCCAAAATGGACCTGATCAGAGTCCATCCTGGTCAGTATTTATTTAAAGCGTGCTTCAAATTTGGCTTACAGTGTGGAACTGGTTTCTCTTGAAATCTGGGATTAACAATAATTGCCTTGTCGTCCCCCCTCCCCCCCAGACCCCATAGAGAGAAGCCCTTTCCAGCCGCTTTGGTTTTTCCCCACCAGTCTCCTGGGCTCTGCCACGTTGTAGTCCCCAAATAACACACAAGACGCTGTATTAATTATGAAGCTGTTGGCCTTGTGTGTTTCTTACTGGCTAGCTCTGCCTTAAGTATTTAACCATCTAAGTATTTCTCTTACTGGATGGACATCATACTTCTCTGGCGGGCTGCCTGATGACTCCCTGTGTTTCTCCTACCCAGAGCCCTCCTGGACTCCTAGTCCCACCTATCTTGCTTCCCTATTGGCCAGCAGTGCTTTATTGACACACACACAGGACTTCCCCATCACCCCCCTCCCTAGAACTGTTTTATGTTGAATGGCGAAATGCAGGAGCTTTGAATATAACAGCATTATATTGCCTCTGGTGAGCAAGCAAGGATTTAGGAAGCTAGGATGCTAGACAATCAGTGGCCACCAGCCCACCCCGAATCAGTGGCCACCAGCCCACCCTGAATCAGTGGCTAGACAATCAGTGGCCACCAGCCCACCCCGAATCAGTGGCTAGACAATCAGTGGCCACCAGCCCACCCTGAATCAGTGGCTAGACACTCAGTGGCCACCAGCCCACCCTGAATCAGTGGCTAGACAATCAGTGGCCACCAGCCCACCCTGAATCAGTGGCTTCCAGGGCTCTTGTCTCATGAACTTGAAGAATGAAGTTAATAGAAGGGAGTTGCAGACAGGAATGTTACTATAGGTGAGAACTTAAGAGATAACAAGTGGGGCTGGAGAGGTGGCTCAGAGGTTAAGAGCACTGTCTGCTCTTCCAGAGGTCCTGAGTTCAATTCCCAGCAACCACATGGTGGCTCACAGCCATCTGTAATGAGATCTGGCGCCCTCTCCTGGCATGCAGGCATGTTTGCCGGCATAACCCTGCATACATAATCAATAAATAAATCTTTAAAAAAAAGAGATAACAAATGAGCAGCTCCCTTGTAGCGGGAGAGTATCCCAAGAAATGTATAGTGTACGAGGCCCTGGGCTCAATCTCCATCACTTCAAATAAATAGATAAACATATAAATAGATGTTTTATACTGTTTTCATAGCCCAAAAATCATTAATCTAAATAATCCACAGACATATCCTCTTAGATTTTTCAAAATTCATAATTGTTAAAAATCAAACTAAGTTTGGCCTTGAAGGGGCACCGTATACAAGTCCCTGCTTGGGGAGCTGAATCATGAGTCACCAGAAAGAGGATTAGCAACTGGAAGGTCAGTGAACAAAAAAGCAAAATTTAGCCAGTCCCAAAGCCAAACACCAGAGACAGGCATCCGGCTGTTTAAGCTGTGTTCAAACAGGCAAACAAGGAGTACGGTCAGCCTTCTGTGTCCTGGTCAGGAACAAGGAGTACGGTCAGCCTTCTGTGTCCTGGTCCTGCTTCCTGTGCCTCATTCAGACCTCGTGGCAGAATGGAGCTCTGTAGTTTATTGTTTCCCCAAGGAATCTGGTTCTAGAATAACAACAACAACAACAACAACAATAGAAGCCAATCGAGAGGACAAAGCTATGTCTATAACTTTGTCTTTCAGCACAGGTATATCCATGAGTAATGAAACTTTGTGGCTTCTCCTCCTGTTTCAACTCTTGTCATCCCCATGTGGGCCAATAATTTCCTCAGCAGCACTGAACAAACGCGTCGTTACTGCCCTCCAGTTTGAAACGCCAGCATTATTGAAGATGTATGGAAAGCGGGAAAATGACGGGGTGGTGGGAGAGAAATCAGGAGAAAGGAGGCTTTGTTATTGCAGATAGAGACTGGCAGGCTCAAGAAGGAAGCCGACTTGAAATGAGCTTCATTAGGAGAGGGCCTCCTGACCGTGAGGCTGTGAGGGAGGACATAGGAGCCAGAGGACATGGCAATAGACACAAGAGACCATGGCCTTCCTGCTGGGTGCTGTAGTGTAACCTGCAATCCAACACTTGGTGGAGGGAGGTGGGCGGGAGGGTGGGATGTGGGTGGGAGGGTGGGGTGGGTGGGAGGGTGGGGGGGTGGAGGGAGGAGGAACAGGAGTCCACGCAGGAGGAACAGGAGTCCAAGGGTAGTCTCAGCTCTACAGCAAGCTTGAGGTCCATCTGAGTTTCCCGAGACCCTGTCCTGTGGTTATAGTTTCTCGTATAAATAAAGCTTGACTAAAGATCACAGAATGGAGCTTGTCCTAGCTAACTGTCGAGGTCTGGAGGTCTGCACAGGCAGACAGGAAGTGAGATGGCTGGGCGGGGAGAGGAAGGGATGGCTGGGCGGAGAGAGGATATAAGCAGGAGGAAACAGGAACTGGCTCTCTTTCCCCTGGGAAGCTAATGAGTTAGAGGTGGCTTTGGCTTGCTCCTGACCTCTCAGCGGCTTCCTCTATATCTGACTCCACCGTTTTATTATTTAGACCAACTAAGACCTCCAAGTCCGCCAGTTTCATTGAGAGACAGCAGAGAGAGAGCAAGGGAGAGAGATAGAGATAGATAGATAGATAGAGAGAGAGAGAGAGAGATAGAGAGAGAGAGAGAGAGAGAGAGAGAGAGAACGCTGCCGCAGACTGACAGGGACAAAGCCTCGGAGGGACCTCACAGCAAAGTGGGAATCTGACTTTGAAATTTTGGGAGGCCTTCCTAATTAAACTGGAAGCTTCACACCTAACTTGATGCAGGCCACTCACCAAGGAGCCAGGTACTGCAATAGACCACACATTTTTTCTTTGAGATCGCAGGGGATTGTACTACAAGGTCACTGTATATTGGGGCTTTTTTTAACTTTCTGTATGGGATAGGGGTGGGGGGGGGTGAGGGTGGGACGTAGGGGAGGGAGAGAGGGAAGGGAGAGCACAGCACGCAAGCTAGCACACAGCCGTGTGCCCTGGTGTCTCTAGGCCGCCAGATCTGCTGTCTGAGAGTGGCAGCACCTTAAACTCGCAGGCTCTAGAGGTAGCACATCATGTCTGCCTGTTCTGCTGACCAAGTCAGACAACGTCAGGCACCACTGTGGGGTCCAAAACTGAACACGGAGACGGTATGTTTCTCAAAGGACAACTTGTCCAGGGACAGTAAATAAACTACTCACTTAGGACTGAAAACATGTATAGCTCCAAGTTTTTATCACTCTGTCAGGGCGTCCTGAGTTACGTGAGTCGGTCGAAGAAAGAGGTCACTCCAAGACGAATTTGAGGCCTGTGTGGCGGCAGGAAGGGCCAGCCTCTGATGGGCCGGACCTCGGAGAGCCGTTCAAAGGTGTATTTACTGATGGTTACACAAAGCTGTTTTTTGGGGTAAAGTATTTCCTCATGCCAAGGTCCCTATTCTAATTCACATGGTTGTCTAAAG